CTGTGGCTATCTCACTGTGGCGCCCTCTACGTCCCCCTATCCCACTTGGCTCGCGTAAAAACAGAACGAACGAACAGAACGCATAACAGAATAACCAATTATAAACGCTTTCTGAGCAGCCTTGAAAAATGCAAAACTTTGCTCCGACAAGGATTCGATCACATGACCTCACCCCTATGAAGCAAGAGCGCTACTCGCTAGACCACCATATCCACTGCATTAAGTGGTCTGCGGCTCTCCTTATGCGAGCCTAGAACAGTGAGAAGAATCCTCTCGTAACTTCCGTTCAGAGAATCGTTCGGCAAAAACCGAAACAGATTTGAGCTCAGCGTCGCAAGACGCGTGCATCGGACTACACCTCATTGCAATGGCCGGACCGACCAATTGACCATTCCTTGTTAGCACCGTTGAATCGCACTATTGAGCGGCGACAGAGCCGCGCCTTGGAGACCCCTCTTTCTCACTCTGACAGGGACCACCCTTCGGCATTCCAACCGGTAGCTTTGATCAATTTCTTTGCACTCACAATACTGGAAGAATCTCCAAAAATTCATGATCAGGACCTAAGTAGGGATTTCTAAAGCAGCAATATTCCGTTTTTTTCATCAAAAATGAAAGCAATGCTTTGAATGATCCACAATGATCCGTGAAAATAAAAAGCAGAAGTAAAGAACAAAATCCGCGGGGTGTCCCCCAAGAGGCCAGTCGCGCGGCAAAGGACGAGTCGCAGCGCATACTGTAGCGGTTAGGCGTCAGGTTAAATAGAGTGTACCATACTACGTCTCATATCGCACAGCACGCGCTGCGACTCGTCCTTTGCCGCATCTGCGTCTCTTCCTTCGCCGCGCGACGGGCCTCTTGGGGGACACCCAAATCCACGATTTGAATTTTCCCTAACTCATTGTGGCGGTTGAATTCCAATTGGGCAAGTCCACCACAACAGTTAGAAGACAAGGATGAAGCGCTCAGCCTCTTGGAGATGCGTTACGCATTCTACCTTCATTCGAAATCATATTGGCACTAGAATGCTATTTCACATACACAACGACTTTCAGGCTGGCGGTGTACAATTCACTACTTTTATTCTCCCATACAAGTCCGGTACCACCTTGGCCGCTGCGAAGGGAAGGGAGGCTTCCTTGGTGTGGACGTTGAACGATCAAAGACTCGATTCCCGAACCACGCGCGTGGGAAGTACCGCCACTTGCCACAAGATCACCTCAGCTTGTTACAGTAACAATCAATAAATGAATAACACCACACCCATTAGCCCCGTGAACACGTCATTTGCAGAGGCGGTGCCCGGAAACGTTATGACTGCCTTTTGAACCTATGCGCACCGCTTCTAGCATGCTCTTAGCTAAAAATGGCATAAATCGTCTGATCGCATGCGTGAATCGTGGATCTTCTGTATATATACACCTAAACGCATAATCACTTAATGCTCAAGATGCTTATCTCACTGATTGGTATATCCCACCTAAAAGCTACTCTATTACTTTAGTGATAAGGTGAGGAAATGAAGAATAACCAACACTTAAAGGCACAGTCCGCCATCAAAATTTCACAAGATTCACTCGAAAATGAAATTAGATATGCGAAGGGGACCATATGTGAAGACAAAAGCAAGAGTTGCCATAAAAGTACCAAGAGTTTCCTCTAAATAGGATAGGACAAAAATGCAGTGTACGGAGGAGAGGTTATACGGACAGGGTGCGCCTTGGGAGAGGCGCTCAGAGGCAGTCATGGCAGAGCCCTGGCGCCCTTGTCCCGCATTTCGCAGTGGCGAGGTTGACACGATCTCTTTGCTTGCTTACTCTCCTACCATCTTAACGGAATGGAATATTCCAACAAAATAGTCGTGGAGTGTGCCTTTAAGTTTCTTGAGAAAGTTTCAAGAAAAGTAAAAAGACAAGCCACAGAAAAAGCTCCTCCAAACTTTTATCCCCTGAAACTTCTAGAAATAAAAAAATGATCTAGTCTCCTTTCATTTCCTGTAATTTTGCATACCCTTTTCAACACTACAATTCTTAACCATTCTTTGCAGCATGTCGGTAACGACTCCTTGTGGAGACAATCAATGTTCCTGTGTGTTGGTTTTCTGACAGTTGGTGTTGCGCTTTTTATCTTATGCTTTTTCCAGGTAAGAAAATCTCCTTTCGCGTTGTTTTTGCGATTATCCTTTCAAATATTTCCAGAATTACTTTCTATCATTGGCTAGCCATAATATTGTTGGGCGCATACGTAAGGAGTTCGTCAAGGCAGTACTGGCGCAGAATGCGGCCTGGTTCGATGAAAACAACTCAGGAGCGATCACTACGAAACTTAATGAGTACGTGGAAAAGTTTATTATGAGGTATTTGGTAGCGAAAAATTGGAGCCGAAACACCTTGAAACCAGGGTCAACCGTCCGTTCGCACTATTCGAACGAGAGGTCGCATTTGCGCATGCCGGGAAAGGGGGTTGTATTTTGGGGTTGAGCAAAGTTAGCAAAAGGTAGCAAAATGATTTGCCGTTTCATGATGAACCAAACAGCAATTTACCCCCCCCCCTCCCTCCCTTATGCCCCTCTTCGCGCTCGATCGGAAAGTGGGCGGAGCTGGGCTGTGTAGACTGGTCTTGGAGTCAAGTTTTACGATAGAAACACCCATGATGGTGGAGGTGGTGATCGGAGAAGGGCAAAGGGGATCGCATCGGGGGAGTCTTCTTACACTGATGGGGTGGTGGTGGGTCGCATTGAGATCCCCCTAAAAGGAGGGGGAGGGAAATTGGTACCACTATACCAATATACCAAACGCCAATTTGCCCTAACCCCCCTTCCCCTCTCCCTGCTCGACGGATTGACCATGCTTGAAACCCCAGTTTGTTCGATGCCGTAACCAGGATTATAAGCTGCTGGCAAAGGGGCAAGCCGTGACTCATTCGAAGAGTCATGGGAGCGATGTACTGTGCCTCAAGGAAAATCTTGTAAACTGTGAGGTTAGCAAAGCGTTTTGTCATGCTGTGTGGGAGCTCTCATGCACAGCATCTCTACTTCCTCTAATTCTTTGGAAGCTCAGTTTAAGTACCCCAAAAAAGTATACTCTTCCATCCATCACCCTTTGGTTGACAAAAGCTGTAACTCTCGTGTAGGTGACAGGAGGAGAGAATCGTCGAGCAATGGCTCCTGCCGACTGCACTAATCCCAGGTTTGCATAAAGTGGAAGTTTGGAGGTCTCGGAACAACTCCTCGTATGTCTTGAGATCTCTGCGCCAAGATGCCCCTCCATACTGACACCAGAGCCGCCTTCGATTTGGACAGAGTTAAGTCGACGAATTAGCAAAGGTTTTTTAGAAACGTGGCGCAAATCGAAGATGGCATTGGAGACAAGATTGGGATGTTGGCTAGAGGTGTGACAGTGTTCATCGCCAGCGCTGTCATCGCCTTCGCGTTCAGCTGGCGCATCACCCTCGTATGCATTATGGACGGTCCTGTGAGTGCCATAACCATGGCCATCATGTCACGGGTGAGCTTCTTCTTCACGTTTCTCGCTAAATTTCCAGAAACTGTTTCACAGAAGACTGGGCTATTAGCACAACATTCACGCCACGCGGGGCTCGAACCCACACGTCTCGTTTACGGGGCAAGTGCGCCACAAACGAACAAAACGACTTCTAGAGACTTCATATTCTTTCGAAGATGCTTCGAAGTATTTGCTGCCAAGCTGACATGCCACGGCTACTTTTGGATCACAAAGCAAGATACCATGAATCATTTATTTCATCTACCCCTCTATTCTAATTGCCTACACCTGGGCTAGCAGAAGCACTACCCCAGATTCTTCTCCTGCGTTATGTATTGACAAAAATCATAGGCACTGAGCTAGAACTGGGCTAAACAAATAGGTCCGATATAGCAAACCTCCCACCCTCTGTTTTTCAAAATTGCTGGGCGTTCAATTGCCGAAATGTGCGAGAATGATGCCAAGAAAAATAGCTATATTTGAGTAAAAACATTGAACTTGAAGAAATTTTTTTAGGTGGGGAGGGGGAAGTGCAGGGGGAATTTACAATGAAGTAGTTCGAGTTCCATTTTGCGCTTGCCCTTGGATAGAAACCAAACTGGAACGAATTATCTTTCCTCCGTGCTCTTCAGTAAGGAGGGGAGGACAGAGCGTTGAATTGACATAATTTTATAAAAATAAGCAATAAACTATTAGTACAGTGTAATAGTATGATTGAACACGGACAATACATATCATAATAAATAGGCATGCTTACGGATATCAAATGGCATGATAAACACGGTAGTAGATGCGCTTGTGGATTAAAGTAAGAAGCTTTCAAAGAATTAGACAAGTTCAATACCAATAGGATGGGCATGCCGATTTTTTGATTACGGTAGGCGCGAAGTGTATGTAAGGGGGATTGCTGCCAGCACAAGATTATAAGTTAAGGAACATAGGGTGTATACCGTAA